TAGCCACATTGCACTTCATGTGCAATGCTTTTGCATTGTATCAATTGACGCTATACTCATAGCGTTTGGATTCTCAGTGCACCCTTGCAATGCGGAGGTGTGAAATTTGGAGTTTCCGTACCTGGAAGGGCAGAGTTCGCAGCCCAAAGCGTTTGCACCGCCAAAGAGACAGGGGCTCAGGGAGCTACTTTGCACTTGAAGTGTGGACTGCGAACTCCACACGTGTGGAGTAGTACTCCTACTTTGTTTCGCGGTGTAGGAGCGAGGCGTGCCTGACAGTGGGGTGTCCGCGCAGACACAATCGAGGCAGGGCATGGCCATGGTAGGTGGTTTGCATGCGCAGTGTACACACGCTCTTTCCTAATTTCCGATTCCGAACGAGGTCGATGCCTCCGCTGTGCCCCAATACGGAGAGTGCTCGGCTGTGTTTGAGCGTTAATCATGGAGTGCCCAAACGCATTCGCCGTCTGGTGAAATTGTTGTTTCGTTTTTGTTTCTTCTTGTTTTTGTTTTGCGGAGGGGGAGGTCGTTTCCGAGCATCGTGTAATTAGCGAGGTTACTGGGCACAAGTATTGCTGTTTTATTAATTAGAAGGGTTTTGATTGATCTTCGATGGCTCCTATGAACAAAGACAGATCTGCATCGCGTCCCGCCAACAAAGACAGAAGCGTTTTAGGGTACCGACAAAGACAGATCTGCTTTTAGGTTAGGGGCGCCCCTTCCTCTTTCTTCCTTCCTTACGCACATTAAACTGCTGAAAGTGTATTATTCGATTAGATATTTGTATTTGTGAAATCTTGACACGGTAAAAACGGGACCTGGTTTTCCCAGGAAGCCAATGGTGAAGGTATAGGCGATTTCCAGGAGGTTCCTGGGAAAACCAGGAACCGTTTTTACCGTGGAAAGAATGAGAAAATGTCATGCCGAAAATGAAAGCTCTAACACAGTGGCTCGCAGTGGCTGCATAGTGGGTTTAAAGTCCGGACACAGGACGACTCCGAAACGCAGATCTGTCTTAGTTCGCGCACGCTCGAACACTTCTGTCTTTGTTGGCGGGACGCGCGGGATGCAGATCTGTCTTTGTAATTTGTAATTTGTAAGCGTCATTTTCACCAGTGCACGGCCCTGCGCGAGGCTGAAATTTCGTCCGAGAAGCCAGCGGTCGGGCTGCACTGCCTTGGCACGGCACGGGATGGCACGGCACTGCACGATGGCCCGTGGAAGGTGTCGGAAGGTGTGCCCACAGGGGGTGGCTGGAGGAACCACTCAGCCCCCGAGCAAACGTGCGTGCGGCCGTCGAGTGATTCCGGCGCGGCCCGCACGCTTCGCTCCGTCTCTCTCGCACCCACGGAGCGTGCCGCCGAGGTGCGAGAGAGATGGACTGCTCTCCGACAAGAAAAGCCGAGGCTACCACCGATGTGGTTGTGCCGAGCGATCCCGCCGCCCACTTCATCCCCCTGTCTCTCTCTACGGCACACTCCGTGAGTGCGAGAGAGACGGGGGGAGGCGTGCGGGGAACACAACGGCGATGGCCTCAGTTCCCTCGCCACCCGTGTGGAACAGATAGGCTGAAAGCATGCTGAACCGCGTCTGAATTTTCAGTCCGTTTTCAGACGCCAGTCAGGCCTCAGTCAGTCCGCGTTCAGGCGAGATCCAGGCCGTTCGCGACACGAACAAGGTCTGAATGCCGCCTGACGAGCGTCTGACTGAGGCCTGACTGGTGTCTGAAAATGGACTGAACGCGGTCTGAAAAGCGGCTTAGATTCAGACCGCGTTCAGGCCGCGTTCAGTCCGTTTTCAGGCCCACGCCTGGCCGCCCGAAAAAAACGTCAAAAGCGTCGAAAACGAAGACCTGCCGGCCGACGTCTGGTGTCGAACTCGGGACAAGGCGCATAGAATACCGGTGCGTGAATCCGCTTGGCCAGAGCGACTTCTGTGAACCGACGTGCGACGCTGCGATCCCATTCTGCTGGCCAAGGCTTGCTGATACGTATAACGCTGCGGAGAACTACTTGGAAGAAAGGCTCTTTTCGTTTTAAAATGGCACAATCCGAAATATCATAGCCAGCGAAAAGAGTATGATTGTTCTCCACGACAGAGGCAAACCCTGTTCTACCCCACTTCGGAAAAGGTTTAACGCATACATCAGATGTCTCAACCGTATCAGCAAGCTTTGGCCAGCAGAATGGGATCGCAGCGTCGCACGTCGGTTCTCAGAAGTCGCTCTGGCCAAGCGGATTCACGCACCGGTATTCTATGCGCCTTGTCCCGAGTTCGACACCAGACGTCGGCCGGCAGGTCTTCGTTTTCGACGCTTTTGACGTTTTTTTCGGGCGGCCAGGCGTGGGCCTGAAAACGGACTGAACGCGGCCTGAACGCGGTCTGAATCTAAGCCGCTTTTCAGACCGCGTTCAGTCCATTTTCAGACACCAGTCAGGCCTCAGTCAGACGCTCGTCAGGCGGCATTCAGACCTTGTTCGTGTCGCGAACGGCCTGGATCTCGCCTGAACGCGGTCTGACTGAGGCCTGACTGGCGTCTGAAAACGGACTGAAAATTCAGACGCGGTTCAGCATGCTTTCAGCCTATCTGTTCCACACGGGCAGTCAATCCACTTTCCAGGTGGGGCAGGCAGCAGGCAGGCGCGCTCCGGGGAGAGAGAGAGAGAGAGAGAGAGAGAGAGAGAGAGAGAGAGAGAGAGAGAGAGAGAGAGAGAGAGAGAGAGAGAGAGAGAGAGAGAAGCTTCCCCGAGGGCCTTCGGCTTGGCATCCGTCTGCAGGTGAGCCAGCGGCACGTGCTGACCAAGCCGCCTGATTCCGAGGGATCGTTCCCTCACTCTGTCTCTGTCGCTTTCATGCGGAGTACGGGTGCGAGAGAGACGGAGTGACGAAATGATCCTCCCTGAACCAGGCAGCTGGAGCACCCCGTTCGCGGCGCCGTGCGTGGTATGTCTCCCCCCCCCCCACGTCGCAATTGGACCACTCAGCACACTGAGATTCCAAACGCTATGAATACATATACACTGAGAATGGAAGAGTCATGATCATGACTAAAATTTTGGGCGAGGAATTCTTTATTACCCAAATTTGGGTGAGGAAGAATATCTCGCCTAGCGTAGCTTAACAAGCTCATCCGCCAAGATTTCCCCTATCTAAATGCATGGGGGAATTTCTAGCCTATGCTTGATTTCAAGCGTAACGTCTTCAAGCGTAACTTTATGCTTGACTCAAGAATAGAGTTACGCTTTAGTTATACCAGCGTGCTGTGAAACTAAGTATGAAAAACTCCAGTGTGGAGACTATGCAAACTCTGCGCTTCCAAGTGCCGAGACTGAAAATTCCACTCCTCCGCATTTTGCGAGCGTTGGAGTTCTCGGTGGATTTCTCCAGACTGGTTTCACAGTGTGCCGCCCCTGCCGCCGCCGCGCCACTGCGCACGGTCGCGGGGACCACAAAGGTGATCAGCGTCGTTAGCGGCGAAGCCGTGGCGCGTGGCGTGGCGTGGCGTGGCGTGGCGTGGCGTGTCGTGGCGTGTCGTGGCGTGGCGTGTCGTGGCGTGTCGTGGCGTGGCGTGGCGTGGCGTGGCGTGGCGCGGCGTGGCGTGGCGTGGCGTGGCGTGGCGTGGCGTGGCGTGGCGCGGCGTGGCGTGGCGTGGCGTGTCGTGGCGTGTCGTGGCGTGGCGTGGCGTGGCGTGGCGTGGCGCGGCGTGGCGTGGCGCGGCGTGGCGTGGCGTGTCGTGGCGTGTCGTGGCGTGGCGTGGCGTGGCGCGGCGTGGCGTGGCGCGGCGTGGCGTGGCGTGGCGTGGCGTGGCGTGGCGTGGCGGCACAACAGGGCGCTTGCCTCGGCTCTGCGCCGCTAGCCCGCCCAAGCCCCCGCAGACTGATTCCGAGAGCCGTCCTCGTCGCCCTGTCCCTCTCGCACCCCGTACATGAGAGAGAGACAGAGAGGGGGGGAAGGGGGGGAGTGAGAGACAGACAGACAGACAGACAGACAGACAGAGCGGAATCAGTCAACACCACGGCAGCACATCGAACACGCGGGCGCGGGGAACATTGAGGGGCAAGCGGCACTGCGAAAACATTGGCGGTCGCTTGTCAACGTCAACACCCATTGAGTGGTCGTCTGACATAACAACGTATGTTCATCGGGAATCCCATAGTAGATACGCCGCTTTGCCCGATAGCTACAGAATTTTCCTCAGAAGAATGACATCAAACCAGTCGATGAGCTTGTTGTGACGAAGTTGTCATCATTTGAAAGTGATGGAAACGTCGCCCACAATGTTGCCATGAAGTGGCTAAAATTCCTTACGGTGTAGAGAACGCACACCGTTTGAAGGCGAGGCGGGGTGGGGCGTGTGACCTCCGAGAATCAATATTCATACCAGGAGCGAACGCCGCGAATGAAAAAGTGATGGTCGGGTCTCGAATGGAACGGACTACGTGAGCACACACTGACAAACCAAGTGTGGCACTCCTCCCTTCGACTCGGAGCAATTCTCCACACGCTTCTTCTCCGCACTGCAAACTCCACACTTCCCAGTGTGGCGAATTCCTCCGCACCAAGAAGTGTGGATGCGCCAGTCGCGTGGCCGAGCGCCTGTGTTTCGGCGGGTAGGCCTCCCGCCGTGCGTGGGTGTGCGGCAGCGCGCTGGCGGCCTACCTCGACGGCGCTCCCAAAGCGGGCCGTGCGTGCACTGCCAAACAGTGGAGGACTCCACACTTTCCGGTGCGGAGCAATTCTCCAAATGCTACTGTCCGCTGTTCCTTGCGCGACTTGGGACGTTTGTGTGAATTCGTAACATGAATTCACAGTGTGAGCACACATGGAAATAAATTCGTTCGTCCTTCGTGTTTCAGATCGGGCCGCGGCTGGGCCTCCATGGCGTCGGCCGTGAGCCGCGTGGCGCTGCTGGCGGCGGTGCTGCTGGCGTGGCGGTGCCACGGCCTGCCCGTCGCCAACCAGACCCTGGCGCCGGGCGGGTCGCCGGGCGGGGCGACGGACGCGCCGCTCGACGCCGACCTGGGCAACGCGTCCACCACGGTGCCGCCCGACGACGACTACGACTACGACTACGACGACTCGATGCAGGCGTACGACTGGTGGGAGATCGTGCCCACGCTCATCGTGTACCTGCTCACCATGGTGCTGGGGCTGGTCGGCAACGCTCTCATCATCTTCACCACGCAGCGCTACCGCCGCATGCAGTCCACCACCAACGTGTTCCTGTCGTCGCTCGCCTCGGCAGACCTGCTGCTCATCGTCGTCTGCATCCCCGTCAAGGTCAGTCCAGCCTCATACACTGTGTAGGGGCCTGCCCCCCCCCTTTTTTTTTGGGGGGGGGGGGCAAGCGTGGTAAGTTTCGGCTTGCCTCAAATAGTGCCTAACCTTCCTACACGGTAAAAAAACGGTAACTGGTTTTCCCAGGAAGCCTATGGCAGAGGCATAGGCGATTTCCAGGGAGTTTCTGGGAAAACAAGGAACCGTTTTTACCGTGTACACTCTTAAAAGCCTACGAAGCATTTGCTTCATAACTGCAAAAGACATTGTAGAATTGCTTCGTATTATGAAGAAATGCTGCGTATTACGAAGGATTTAGCTTCGTAATACGAAGCATTTTCTTCGTAGATTTAACAATGCCTTCATTTTCTTCGTACTACCAAGCGGTTCTTCGTAGAGTTTTTACTGTGTACACTTTGATTTGCAGTGTGTGGGGGAAAGGCTTCTCATTGTTGACAAATATGGGACAAGCTTGAGAGGAAGTGACTCACTTCGTTGCTATTAAGCGCCAAAAATTTTGCTACGCTCATTTCACTTTCCTACTCTCCAAAAATTTTGCCACTATAGTGAGCTACTTGTCCCGGCGCACACCGTGCAGGCCGTGCAGGGTGTGGGCCTGCACGCCGCGGTGCCACTGTAATGCCGAAATGCAACCACGCGCGACAAACCGCAAAGCAGCGGGGACTCCGTCTTGGATGGAGGTGGAGTTTGTCGTCGCAGTGCCAGCGGGACGACCCCCCCCCCCCCCCCCTCCCCCACCCCGGGCCGTCTTGCGGGGCGACGACGCCGCAGGGGTTGGCGTGATGGGAGTACAGAGAACGCCAGAAGGTCTGTCAAGCGGTTGCCGGTGAAGACCCTGACCATGGTTACTCCTCGGAGGCGGTCTGGGGGAAACGCAAATAAGCACCTTTTGCGCACGTATAGGAGAAAAGTGGGTCTTTTTGCCTACCTTTCATTCGGCTATCGAGAGACCAGGCTACACGGGTAAAACGGAACCTGGTTTTCCCAGGAAGTCTATGGTAGAGACATAGGCGATTTCCAGGGAGCTCCTGGGAAAACCAGGAACCGTTTTTATCGTTGTATGAGAATTGTCGTTTGACCCACTCCCGAAGAACCTGGCACACCATGTACAGTTCACCTCGGTTCACCCGAACAGGTAATGCAGCCCATTTTGCCACCGCTGCCACGCCACTCCGCTGGGGTTGCTCGGCGCGCTACGCTGCAGACTGCTTCCGAGAGTCGTTTTCGTCGCGCTGTCTCTCTCGCACTCACGGGGCGGCCCGTACAGGTGCGAGAGAGACAGAGCGACGAAAACGACTCTCGGAATCAGTGTGCTGGGAATGGGCTTCGTGTCCGGATGCCCCGTATAACGGAGTAGCGCGCGCCGAGTGTTGAGTGGCCCTCGTTTGTGTCCAGCGCCCCCGAGTCATTGTGGCGCTTCCGTCGCGCTGTCGCCGCCGCCCCGCCCCGCCCCGCCCCGCCCCGCCCCGCCCCGCCCCGCCCCGCCCCGCCCTGCGCCGCGTGAAATCGCCGCCCCGCCCTGCCGGCCATTTGTTCCTCCCCGTCCATTATGCGCGTCGCAACATAACGCGGCCGACGACGCTAGGCAGCGCCACCCGGGGCAAGGCACGGCGGCAGTGTGACCTGCACAGTGGGCCAGAAGACCGGTGGGGAACGGTCAAAGGCCCTGACGGGTTTTGAGCTTCAGAGCCGCTAAATGGGACTCAAACCGACCGTGTGACCCCACCAATAGATTGCTCTTTGAATGAGAAATCCATTGGTGGGCACTGAAAAACCAAACGTGGTCCAGACCGCACCACTGGTGGTGTGGTCAGATGGATGCCATTTTGACCACATCAGTTGGTGTGGTCTAGATCACGTTTGGCCACGTATGGTGCGGTCTAGACCACGTCTGGTGCGGTCTAGACCATGTTTGGCCACGTTTGGTGTGGTCTAGACCACACCAAACACACCAAATGGCATCCATTTGACCACACCAGTTGGTGCGGTCTAGACCACGTTTGGTTTTTCAGTGGGGTCACACGCTCGGTTTGAGTCCTGCCTAGCGACTCCGTGGTCGAAAACGCGTCTAGAGTTTTGGCCGCCTGCGCCGGCCCATTGTGGCGTGGCGGAACGTGGGCTGGGATGCCCAGTGTGGTGGACACAGTCGGTCTTTGGGGAAAAGCAGCAGTTTTGGAGGTTGAAGCAGCGCGACTGCCCTCGCACACTAAATGGTTTTGTACAAATTTTGTACGAGACATCACAGTTTTTTGTGCACACGAACTTTTCGTACAAATTTGTACCAAATTTTTTACAATTTTGTACAATTTTGTACAAAAATGGCGCAAAATGTGCAGTTTTTCGTACGAAACTTGTACGAAAATTTCGTGTGCACAAGAAACTGCGATGTCTCGTACAAAATTGTACATAACATTTAGTGTGCAGGAATCTGTTTGTTACCTCGGCGCGACGGGGACGACTTGGGAGCTCGAAATAAGTGCCCTCTGCCCCGGGTTCCGTCCCGCCCCCGCCCCGAGCCCCCCGCGCCGTGGGGATGGGGGTCCGTGCGCCGCCACGCCCAGCCAGTCAACTTTGTCAATCCGGCGACATTCGACAAGTTGGAGGCGTCGCGTGCCTCGCGCCTGGCACCCTGCGGCACGCAAGGCGCACGCAAAGGCGCACACTGCGACACCGAGCGTGGCACAGTGGGTCAGAAGACCGGTGGAGGCGGACAAAACTCTAGACGCGTTTTGAGCACCAGAGTCGCTAAATGGGACTCGAACCGGACGTGTCACCCCACCAATAGAGTCAGGGGGTGGCAACGGCCTAGGGAGAGCGTGAAGCGATGCTCGCGCCGTCAGTGCAGAGGTTGCGCACTTGTTCGAGATTGTGAAAACTAGACTGTGTTTTTCAAAACACTTTGCACCGATAGAAAGGGCTTGAAATTTAGGGTGCATTAGGCTAATTGCCCTTCTCGAAACTCCTCCCTTACCTAATATTAAGGTGCAGTAAAAACACCAAAAAACACAAAAATCATAAAATTTAGGAAAAAACTCGAATGCGCCATGTTGGTGTAAATGATTTTGCCCTTGTGTTCCGTTGAATTCGAAGTATCGGGCAGTCTACTAGGCCTAATGCACCCCAAATTTTGTGCTCTTTCGATCTGTGCAAAGCGTTTTGCAATCAACGGCCTAGATCTCACAATCGAAGCAAAATAAGTAACCCCTGCACCTTACTCGCGCATGGCTTCACGCGCCTCCTAGGCCGTTGCCGCCCCCTGATAGAGTGCTCTCCGAACGAGGAATCCATTGGTGGGTCAAAGTCTGTTTAGCGACCCTGGAGCTCAAAACGCGTCCAGAGTTTTTTGTCCGCCTCCACCGGTCTTCTGGCCCACTGTGCGTGGGGAACTCCGCACCTGAAATGCGGAGGTGCGCAATTTGCACTTTCCGCACTTGGAGGATTACAGTTTGCAGTCTCCACACTTTGAGTGTGGAGTTCTCCACGACGTTTGCACCATGCCAAGAGATAGGGGCTCTGTGAGCTACTCCTCCCTTGAAGTGTGGAGTCTGCAAGCTTCGCACGTCTCCGCTGGTTTGGCAGTGCAGGCGCGGCGCGCTCGCGGAGCGCCGCAAAATGTCATACGATCATGTGTTGTGTGGTCTAGCCCGTAATGGTAATGGTAATGGTGGAGGTAGGCCGCCAGAGCGCTGGCGCGCACCCACGCACGGCGGGAGGCCTACCCGCCGAAACACAGGCGCTCCGGAGCGGCCACGTGGCGCGCGGGCACCGGGCACTGTCTGTCAAACCAAAGTGTGGAGGACACTTCACATTTGCTTTCGCTCTCGGCTCGCCCCGACCTGGTGCGGAGTGTTGTTGTGCCTTCCCGGGTAGTTTGAAGCCGGTCGGGCAGAGTCTGACAATAAACCGCATCACTGCTTCCGCCGCTGTTCGAGAGGAGAGAAAGGGCAAGGGGGAAGAGGGGAGAGAATGGCCACCGGGGGAAGAGGGGAGGGGAGGAGGGGGAGGGAAGAGGGGGAGGGAAGAGGGGGAAGGGGCTTGGAGGGCCAGACTGCTCATCGCGAGGGCACTCCTGCCTGCCTTTCCCTCGCCTCGGCCGGCCGGCCGGCCTACTTTAGACAGTTTGAGCCGCGCGCGTCTCCGCAGTTCGGTTCCAGGAATTACTTGATCGAGAGGTCGAGAGCCAATAACTTTTTTCTCGACTTGGCAAACCTGGCTCGATGGACTGACCCGGCTGCACACCAGCCGCCTGGCCACCTGGCCGCCTGATGCCGAACGATCGAAGTCTTTCTCTCTCGCACCACTGCAAATTGGATGGAAAGACTTCGCGCCAAAATATGGTGAGACTTGAAAGTCTCGCTCAGTTTTGAGACCTGAAAGTCTTTGGTCACACAAAAAGACGTCTCGCCACAAAATGGCAGGGGGTGGAAACGGGGCTGATTTGGCGGGCCTTGGCTGCGGCGATGCGTGCACGGCCGTTTTTGCCGTTTTCACCACTTTACCGCGTTAGTTGGTAAACCACTTTCCAGCTGAAGTAGTCGTCTTAACGACAAAACCTCAACGCGTACTTAAAGAGTAAGGTTGAAGGATCAGCAAATAAGCTCCTTGGGCCGAATTGATACTTACAAAATGAGATATTCACATTTTTGTAACTTGTTTACATTTTTTTCGGCGTTTTCAGGCCAGAATCGCCGCGCCCGAACGCGGATGAGCCATTTAAAACAAGTTACAAACATGTCCATGACTCGTCCTGTGGGTTTCAAATCTTCAAAACGGGCTTATTTTCTCGAAGAGACAACATTACTCTAGAAGTACACGTGCAGGATTTGTGCATAAGATGTCTACTTTAGCTAGAAAGTGGGTTTCTAGGAACCACAAAAAAACAACAAACAACGGCCGTGCACGCATCGCCGCAGCCATGGCCCGCCAAATCAGCGCCGTTTCCACCCCCTGAAAATGGTCAGTCATAAAAGCTTCGCCGCAAG